AAACACAAAATGCCCATTTTAGCATGAGCACTAATTCACATTAGTGCTTAGTGACAAAACAAAATTCAAGACACACTCAATACACACCCATCGCCCTGGCTTTGCAGGGGAACGCACTATTGAAAAATGGCTGAATGAAGTTATAAGTTATGTCTATCGCTTTCAGGCACACATAAAAGTGAAAATTTAAAACCCAAAATTTGAAGAACTATGGTTTTCAGTAACAAAAGATAAAGTTACCAAGCAATTGCTTGTCGGACAATTAGAAGCACGCAGAAGGTAGAAGAAATCACATCTACATTCAAGCTGGTATTGCAAGTTCAGAAATGCGACAAAAAATTTTAAAAATTTGGAGAGCTTGAGCTATGCACAAATATAAAATCAGAAAGAATAGTTGGAGTAATTTTTCAACTAACAATCCGTCTACACAATGGAGACAAGTTTTGTGTACTTGGCTCTCAAGTCACTTGGATATTAATGTTCCTATGAGGCTAAGACTAACAGGGTACTTTCACCATAGAGTTTACACTACCAGGTTTAACACTAGTTGTTTTATTTCCATGTTGAAATTAAACACTTAGCAATTCCCAAGTACTCAAAACAAATGTAGAGATGTTTTCCAACCGTTTTCTGTGCTTTCCTCATCATATTCCTGTGGTTACAAAGGTTCAAACTTAGATGCTCTGGAACAAAATTTAGTAGAAAAATAAACCAAGATGCAAGGCAAGTTTATTCAATAGAATGAGGTAAAAGGCTGCTTTCCCACCCCCTAAATCAACAAGCTAAATCTTGTCCACAGCCTATACACTAAACATCTCACATAAGTTTGGCTATACAGGAGAAAACTGTTATTAATGTGATTTCCTTGGTGGTTTTCCTTTTTGCAATAAAAAGCAGTCATCAATATAACAACCAACTGTGACCTTCACCAAAAAAAAAGGCATAAAAAGCTTTAAGGCAGCACCCTAAGATTTACTTTCCTTTCTACATCGGCACTGAAATAAACTGAACAAATAGACAGCCATCAACCACCGGTTCAAGGACCTAGTACTTCAGCAAAGCAAACCTAAGGAGTGTCCCGCAAGGGTGTCCAGGGATCCCCACAGCCCCGCTCCACAGTGGTACTCAAGCCACTCTTTCTTACCTTAGGAAACCAAGCCTTCTTATCAAGGTCCCACTCGTAGGGAGTGTCATCCGGCGGTTGTCCCAAAGATTCGGTTTCTCCAGAGGGATCCTTCTGGGTGTCACCTTCCTTGGGGTCTCCGTACAATTCTTGCATTCTCAACTGTTCATCAAACTCGTCGTTCCCGCTTAAGTTGTTGCCACTCATGTTTCTTACGTGGCCGCACGGACAGTGTTCAGAGAAGTGAAGAGGCCAAAGCGACGCTGGAGAGGAGCAGAGAAAGGGAGGTCGGCAGAGCTCAGAACGTGCAGTGCAACCCCTGGCCCGCCTCCCCGCAGCGCCCCAGCAGTCCCTGGGAAGTCTGAGCCGCACCGCCCAGGCCCCGCCCTCCCGCCCGCCCCACACGCGCACGCACGCGCCTTGAAGCTGCCAGCGCAGTCGCGGCCACCCACCGGGCGGGCTCCGCGGGGCCTCGACGCCACCGCTTGGTCCAGGGCGAAGCGGAAGCGCGCACGCGCGCCGTCACAGCCGCCGTCCGCTCCGGAGGCACCACGGCTTCCTCCCGCCACAACAGGAAATAACTGGAGAACGAAGTCCACCTCAGGCTGATGCAGTCGCCATTATCCGCGCGTGGCGACGTAGCGGGTCGCGTTGACACGCCCACTCTGGCGTCAAACGGCCGCGACGCTTGCGAGAGCCAGGGGCGGGGCTTCAAAAGCGCGCTGCTGCCGCGTGTCTGTACTCACGGGAACTCGCCATGGAGACGCAGCCTATAGAAATCCTTGACACCTCAGGAACCTTGGGCTCGGTGGGGTCCCCTGCAGTTCGGACGAGGCGATAGCCTGAGAAAAGGCTTGGGACTCCTCCAGTAGGGCTGCCGCTGGATGGGCTTTGCGGCAGCCGCCATCTTGGGGAGGTGGGTGGGACCATGGGACAAGTTTCTCCCGCTTCGCGAACCCGGTGTGCCTCTTTCGCGCAAATCTCCGCCCCTGCGAAGGAACCAAGTATTTAGTTATTTTTAAATTTTTGTCTTAGCGTACACACGGCTTTTGTTCACCTTAGTAACCCAAACACGTCACATGCTATTTGGGGTCTAGTGAGGAGTGAGTGAATGAGCGAACGAACGATGAGCAGAAGGTCCCATCTCTTCCTAATTTCACCCCCTTTTTATGCATCTGGTACCACCTTCGGGCTGCACTTGGTGAGGGTAGCATTTGCCTGCAGCGTACTGCAAGGTATCAGAGATACTCAAGCTTGAAACTTGAAGCTTGACTGTAAACATCCCCATGTACAAATGCCAGCTGAACCGTGTGGCTCCGTTTCTTCATCTCTTAGAAAGACAGCCCACTAACTGCTCTAAGCAGGACTTTCCCCCAAATATTTCATACATCTCCAAAAGTGAAGGGGTCCATGTTTTTAAAATAGACAGGTATTTAGTGAACTCCTGTTAAGTGCCAGGCACTGGGGGAGGTTCTGGGACAGCAGTCAGGAATACGGGCTCGCATCAAGGGAGACTCAGTTATGGTTTGGCGAAAAATATAATAGAAGTACCAGATGCTGGAGAGCAGTGATTATTCAGTTTTCAAGCATCCTTTTATACTCAAAAACTGGAAAATTCTAAAGAGCTTTTTTTTATATGTGGATTGGATTTCTCAACAATATTTGTTGCTATAATGTTAACTATGCATGTACAATTTTAATTCAATAAAGGTAGTTATGAACTCTATATGTGTAAACATCCATATTATAACCCAGACTTGACAGTAGGAAAAAGCTTCCCAGAAGTTACTTCGATTCCAGTCACCTTTGCTTGTAAATACAGTGGTAGGGGTTCTAGAGCACCGTGGATCCTCACAGACCTCTGTGAATCTGGTTCCAACCTTAACAGTGTTTTAAAAACAGTAGTTTTTTTTGTTTCCAAATACATTTATTTTTATGAGGTTCTTGTTTTTGGTAGAGCTCTCAGAAAACTGAATTTGTGTGCATGTTATGGATTTTGCTAGGTTTATTTAAATATTACTAAGTGGTTCTTGCTTTAATCTGAAAATAGGATACAGCTCTTTTCACTAATATGTTATTAGGCTTCCATTTCATTCTGGAGTATGTTTACAACACAGGAAAGATACTGTACTACATGATCATTACTGCACATGGCACACATTCTTAGTGCCTGAAGTAGTACCCTCGACACCCCCTTACAAGAAAATGGGTAAAAAAAAAAATCCTTATATCTAGGTTCCATGTCACCCAGTCACCTTGTCCAAAGCTTCCTGGAAGCCTATGGGCAACGTAGCCTGAGGAAGCACTGCATTTTGCACTAGATTTGCCTGAGCCGGTAGAAGCTTGTCCCATAAAGTTTGAGTACAAACAGATGCAGCATCAGAGTAGAAGGAAAGCAGATACCTATGGAAGGTCAAAGGCATGATAAGGGCCTTCTGTGCAGAAGTTCCCCTACCTTGCTTAACATGCTTACAAACTTTCTGGAAAAGTTAAAGAACTATACTAGGAGATGTGTGTGTGTGTGTGTGTGTGTGTGTGTGTGTGTGTGTGTGTGTGTGTGTGTGTGTATGAATGTTTGGGAGTATTCTTGTCCCCACATCTTGTAATCTCTAAACTTAGTAGTGTGTGTGTGTGGGGGGGTTCTTCTGACAAAATGGTTGATGGGTCTTCAACTTGGGATAATATGAACTGCAGAAATTCTTTAAAACTAAATTTGCTACTTACAGAAGGTATACATTGTTCAATTGGAACACTTTTCATTTCACTGAGGAAGATGTACCCTCAGGTCATGTTTCAGTTGTCCATAACTTGGTGACTGTTTTCATACTTGATGGGGTATTGCTATTTGTATCCTAAATCTTAAGCAAGGGAAGACCATGAGCAAAATTAGGATATGTTCACAATTTGTTTTGCATATGTCCATATCTGTCCCTATCTAGAACTCTCACTAAAGAAATTAAATATCCCATAGGAACATTGCCTGTACAACAACAAGCAATATAAATGTAGTTGTGGATATTATGGCCACCTGTAAGGTTAGCCCCAAGAAGTAAAATCACTTAATCTTCCCGAAACAAACCCAAAATTTTAACACTAATTTTCTACCTACAAAAGGGGAAGGAGCTGATGACCTAGGAAGCTAAGAAGTTATTGTATACATTTTTCATCACTAACTCATGCAGAGCTCTAGTTTTGGGAAACACGAAAATATTCTCTTGACTTTTGTAACCTGGGACTTTTTTAAATTAGGATACTAATTATTGATTCTGTGTATGAGTGTATATATGTGAAATATGTATGTGGTATGCATGTGTGGGTGCACATACATGGAGTCCAGAAGAGGGTGTCATGTATTTTCCCTCATCACTTTCTGCCTTATTCCTTTTGAGGTAAGGTCTCTTGCTGAGCCCAGACCTTATGGTTTGTTTGGGGGGTTGTTTTGTTTTGTTTGTTGCTTGTGTTTAGCTAGGCTGGAAGCCAGCAGACACCAGGCATCTTGTTGTCTCAGCCCGATCAGTGCTTTCATTGCACCATATTTAATTGTGCTTTAATTGCAATTACAGGACCACATCGTGCCTGTGGGTACTGGAATCCAAAATCTGCTCCCCATGCTTGTTCAGGAAGCACCCTTTACTGCTGAACTCTCTCTCTCAAGCCATAGCCTAGTACATTTATAAAATTATTTCTCAAGTGTTAGGCTCAGGAAAGTAAATATATAATGTTTTTCTAATTAAAGAAAATAAAATATTTTATCGTTCTGTGATTTTAAAAATAATAAGTCTTCAAATTGAAATGTGTTCTTCTATTTTATCATTACTTTTAGAATACAAGCTTACACAAAGCCATTCAAGCTTTATTTCGTATTTATTTGCTCACCTCCAAATTTTTTACAACAATTTTGCTCACTTTTTAAAGTAATGTTAATACGATATTAGCACCCCCACTTTAAGCAAGCCAATTTTAAGGACATTTAAATCCCAGTGTTAATATATGTCCCACCCCCGCTTGAGCCACATAATTAGCAGAAGTTCACAACGGCACAAGCCATTTAAAGCTCAAAAATACCAAAAGCACTCTAAAAAAAATCAAGTTTTTAAAAATACAAATGTAACTATAGCGCCAAAGATAAGCTTTAGTTTACTTCAAGAATACATTTTCTGAAAGCATAAATTTAAATCTGGCAAATCTACTGACTACAAGGTCCCCCCCCCCAATTACAGTGAGTAACAAGCTTATTTGTGTTAGCAAGTTGTAGCAGAGGATAGAAAGTCAGAGCCTTCTGTCTGACTTGTAGAAACAGAGCTGAGCTCTAGGACTTTGGCACCCATCAAGTTGAGTAATATCAAGCAGGTAGATGATGTGATGATGCTCGGACAACCAGGTGATGGAGATCCCAAGTGGCAGTTCTGCAGGTTTTTAGAAAGAGGGCACTGCTCACCCAAATAAAATGAGTTTCCTTCAAGGAAAGAATTTCAGACAGATTAGAAACTTGGACAGGAATCTTCCTCTGGGGCCCACCAACACGATGGCTCTCTGTTCTGCCTATTAAGACAAATTCTTCACAATGTTTATGAGAGATGGCTCTGTCTAGTTATTAACCAATGGCAGTAGAATCCACAAAGTCAGCAGTGTTGACCCAGCAAGGGAAGCACCCTGCCCCAGACTCAGTGCTTAACACCCTCCGACTCTCAAACCTTTTCATTTCAATTGCAAGACTTCTTAGAGTGGAATGATGATTGAAGGAAAAAAGCAGTCACTCTGTGAAAGTATATATATATATGTGCGTGTGTGTGTGCGCGCGCGCGCGCACGCACGTGTGCATGCGTGCGTGCGTGCGTGTGTGCGTGCACTCGTGTGTGTGCGTGTGTGTGTATGTGTGTGTGTGTGTGTGTGTGTGTGTGTGTGTGTGTGTGTGTGTGTGTGTTTTACAAAACACCATGAGAGATGTTTTATCTCTTTTTGATCTCACTTACGGAGTAGAATCTCTAGATTTACAGCACACAATGAGCACAAACACTATTTTATGACAACCACATGAGTACGTGAGAGATGAGCATCACAAAGGAGGGCTCCAATTCGATTTTTAAACATTTGTCTTGGTCATTTACCATCTCTCCTATACAGCGTTCTTCACAGTTGACTGGCATTTTCAAACCTGCTTTTCCCTACTTGGTGGGCTTCATTGTATTTAGAAAGCCCAAATGGCATTGCTGTTTGCACCTTGAAGAAAATGACGTTTTGTCTTTTACTTACAGGGATAATTCATTCTGAAAACTTCAAAACAATTCATAAACAACAAAAACCCAGACACCATACTATGCACACCTTAAAGCCGGATTGGATACACGCAATGAGACTAAAAAACCACCATTTTTTTTTTTCAGTGGAAAAGCTAAACTTTGTCCTCTCCCTTCTTCACGCTACAGCCACTGAACACGGTCACACTAATTTCAGACACATGTGTGCTCCCAGTACCCGGGACCCGCCCCATCACAGTGAGGTTGGTAAGAGGGGTGTCACCAAGAGAAGGCTCAGGCAGCTCTGCCTTGAAGCAGCAGAGCTGAGCTTTAAAATGCTTCTGGAAGGTCTTGCTCAGCCAGTAAAGAGCAAAGGGATTCACACAGGAATTACTGAAAGCCAGCACCCGAGAGAAAATGGTGACAATGAAAGGAACGGCCGAGGGGTCTTCATAGCTTTCGTAAGTGAAGGAGTGGTAGAGGTACAGGAGGTGAGTCGGCAACCAGCAGACAGCAAACAGGGCCACCAGCACCAATACTGTTTTGGCAATTCTCTTCCGGGACTCAATCTATATGGGGAGAAAATTGCACACACACAAAAATATCCATTTAGCTGGCACAGATAAAAAAAAAAACCATCCTCTGTATTGACATAGGAATTTACAGTTAACAAGCTGGCCGCCCTTTGAACACATGCTTATGAGCTAACTGCCTGGAACACATGGGAAGTCTGCCTGTGGATATAGAATATGACAAGTTAATTGGCATGGTAACCTGTGATCTTGGTCTCATTAACTCTCATTCTGAGGCCTCCCACCATCCTCAGATGTTGAGATACTCTAGTTAACTCAAGCAGTGCTATGGAATCCCCGGTGACTTAATTTCACTAAAAGGAGAGAGCGATACTATTCAGAGCAGCTTTCACTGCATCCGCAGAGGTTGACAGGTGAGAACAGTCTTCTGCAGTTTAGGAAAGTTGTCAGGCTGGTACTAAAGTTACTTTTAATCTATAGGGACTTAAATCATGTAGTCAGAGGAATAAAAACAAAATGTGCCATCCATCATATATGAGAATACTCCTATTCACATCTGTTAATATAAGAGATGCACCTCATAAAATAGAGGCTCAGACAGAGCAAAGATAACTGGATCACATGGACACTAAGTATATAACTTATATAGCTTCAGCCTCATGAGCACAGCTATTCAACTAACTGGTAGACTACACAAAAGGCATAGTTCTTTCCCTCCTCCCTCTCTCCCTTCTCCCTCCTCCCTCTCTCCCTCCTCCCTCTCTCCCTCTCCTCTCTCAGTAAATGGCACTACTTCCCTCTTCTACAGGATAGAAGCCTCCCTGACCCCCAGTCTAACAGGACAATGTTTGGTAGCATCCTTTCATTCTGTACAGATTTACGAAGGGAGAGCACACCTAAGTCCTGCAACGGCCTTAATCAAGTGTGTGAGTCACTGTGTTCTTTTGCTATGGGCACTTCATTTCACCCTCTCCAGACCTCAGCTTGCTCATCTGTGTAGAAGCCGTTTTCAGTGAGTAATGTCAGATGAGTCTTGCCAGTTTCACTAGTCTATGCATTTCTACCATTCTGTGATACTTGCTAAAGCAAATGATGCTTTGCTTTATAATCTCATGTTATGCAGATTCCCTTACTGTTTTATAGGACAAATAACTTTTACTTCTCTCACACTTGCACTACCCTGTCTATAATACTAACAGTCTTACCAGTGACTGAGTGAAGAGTACCATCAGGAACTATGATGGGAGTTTTATGTATCTGTGTCACTGAGGCTCAGAGAGGTCAAATAACTTGCTCAGCATTGCTCAATGTGTGACATTTGGGATTGCTATTGGATCTCTACACAGATAAATGCAATGTAGCTTGCTGAAAGGTGATGGGGGCTCCCTTCTAAATTCAGGCTGTATTTGCAGGAGTACTAATTCATACATACCTGCTTTCGGGCATGGCTTTGTTCCTCAGTAGGTATATTCATGGTGCTTTTGTAAAGAGTCCTGGCAATCAAAGAATAATAGACAGAGATAATCGAGAGTGGGATAATATAGAACACTAAGAAACACAACAGAGAATGGATTTTTTGCAAGAGCCTCTCAGAGACAGGGTAGGAGTTACATGACTCAAATGTCACATTTCTGTTAGGATCTTGGAAAGTGTATACATTTGAGAATATAGCCTCTGGCAGAGCAAATATCATAGACACGATCCAGATGCCACCGGCTTTTGCGCAGGTCTTCAGAAGAGCATTGGAGGGCTGTCGCTCAAGTGGTTTCACGACCGCTTTGTATCTAGAAACACATAATCATAAGCAGAGTTGAAATCAGTGACACATGTGACTTTAGCAATCATCCAGTTCTTCCTCCTTTCCAGTCATATAGAACCAATTAGAACTGGCTGTGGTTTCAAATACACAGAATATACCCAATGATTTATTTATTCTAATCAGCTTGTCCTTTATCTACTCCTATGAGAAATTCCAGATCTGCTATTTTGTAACTTTGTGACAGACCCTCTATTTAGGACAAATATTTTCAGCGTCTTTTTCTGTGTGACTTGAGAATAATTCATCACCTATGTGTTGCCATAAGTATTCTAAAGAAATCCTGTATATGTAAATGACTCATGTTAATTAAATTAACTCTCCTGAATGAGTAAGCAGTCTTAAGTCTTTCTAGATAACATTTCCACCAGTAAAAAGCAGAAAAAGCTCATGTTTTCCCCATTCATAAGGGCTACTTCCTTCCCTATGCTAATGGATCAATAGGGGAGATTAGGATAAAATCAGAAGCTAGAGCTCATGCAACCATGCCTCTTCATTTAGACAGAGACACCTTAAAATCTGTAGCCTTTACAGGAGTCTTCCCTCAAGAATATAGACCAGGAAAGCAACATAATCATAATGATGATGATAATAATAATAATAATGACACAGATCAAGCTTTAGCTCGTGTCAGATTCCAGAATGTAGAGCTCTTCCTGACCATGCTGCTGGACATTGATTACCTACAGTATCTTGCAAAAAATTTAAAGCATTACTTTTAATATTTAGAGCCTCATTTTTCATGCTTTCATGGTTATTCTGCAATAGTTATTAAAAACACAGTATCCAAACTAAAAACACCCTAACATGGAGCCCCAACGCCCTGACAGTGAGCCTGTTTCACATGCTCTAGCCACAAGACTCTAAAAGTCCATCAGAATTAATTTATTTCTCTGGAAATGATAATGTCACCACATGATTATAGAGAAAACAAATAGAATGAAGTGATGACATGACACTGACTTATCAGGATGATGAAAACCTTCCTGCTTTCCTTCTATTAGCTAATCTGGGGACTTTCAAATCAATTTGATGCCTTTTCTCTCTTTATCATCCTTCTGGAACATGATAATGCACACACGGTCCATTTCACACCTATGCCAGCATTCTCATGTTGACTCTGTTATACCACTAGGCTGCACTAATGTATAAAGCATGAGTATTTTTCTTTGCACCTGCAACAATTTGCCTGACTTAATAAGCCGGAGGAAAATAAAAACACCGTTTGCTATTCTTTCAAGCACACAATTACATTTCAAAGAAAAGAAACCCCCCGCCCAGAGCATATATTTTCAAGCACTCTTCAGATGCTAACAAAGGCATTTTAACATTTTAAATCTAACTTTTATTTTAAAATGCTACTGGATTTTCAAAGCTTACATTTAGGTTACACAGTGTAAGAAAAGCCTACCGGTAGCCAGTAAACGCTAAGCACAAGCTTTTCTTTTATCTTTTTGCCTAATTTCACATCCCGGCAATAGAACAGAAAGAGGAAACTCACCTGTCAGCGCTGAGAATTGTTAGCGTGAACACTGACACACCGACAGAAGTGAGCCGGATGAAGGAAAGCACTTTACAACCGATCTTCCCAAACAGCCAGCCCTCTGCCAGGTAGTGGGTTGCATCCACGGGCACACAAGTCAGCAGAAGTAACATGTCTCCAAAAGCCAGGCTGGTGATGAAAATATTTGGAACTGTTTGCATGGTTTTAGTCTTGAAAAAGACTTTGATGAGGATGGCATTTCCGAGGATGCCCACTGAAATGATCACAGCATAAGTGATATAGATGGCACACAGTGCTTCTATTCCTGGAAAGTTGTCTCCGGTCCATCCTTTATGTGTGGTATCGTTGGAGACGACAGAGCTTGATGATTCTGTATCATTTGTGATGGAAATTAAAGTCTGATTAGGTGACTGAGGCTGCCTTTGAGACATGTCTCCTGCACTCTCTGCCTTCACTACCTCTTCTCTGCTCAGTTCAGATGTAGTTGACTGTCACGTCTAGTGCCTACGTCTAGCAATGAGGTGGTATCAGGAGAACAGAACAGAATGGAAAGAAAACCCAAGACATCCGGCTACTCCTTCCCTTCAGTTCTTCTGTGTCTCCCAGAATGCTTGGCTAAGCGCTTACAGATCTGGCACTGGGAAATGGGAGGTGGAGGATGGAGGAGTCTCATTGGCATTCCTATGACATAAGATAAGGAAGGGGGCTAAAGAAATGCCCTGTAGTTGCTTTTCCATTTTGGGGGTGTGTAGTCCTTTGAATAATCTTATTAAGGCTTATTAAGCCATATAATTGTTTATTAGAATCACCTGTGTTTTCATTTCTACCCAGCCTGTTCTAGATATATCTTGGTGATTTTTTAAAAAAGCAAAACAAAACAAACAAACAAACAAACAAAACACCTCACCATCTCCCATCACATGGTAGTCTAATGCAGTCTGTTTTATATGACAAATAAGGATGGATGACCCCCAACGCACAAACTTGAACCCAATCCTCAAAATTTAATATCAGAGAAACGAGGAAGCAACAAATCACTCACACCTCGACAGAGCTTATGTCATCTCCCCCAGCAATCGTCCAGTGACCTGGGCTCAACAGCTGACTTGGACACGTGGTCATTCCCACCTCCATGTCCCTGGGGCTGTGCAATATCATACCAAAGCAACTTGTAAGTGATGAAAAATCCAGCAGACCACCAGTCACTTTGTCCCTTAGTGTCTCAATAAAAACAGGGTTTCCATTCGACGTCTGTTTAAATAGAAATCTTTTCCAAAGATTTCTATAAAAAAGATCTTTTAAAGGAGTTCTTTCTCTAAAAATGACTCAAATGAACATGCTTTATTCTACAACCAAATAACACAGAATAATGCCTCTCGAGGTCTTGACCCAAATAATGGTGTAAGAATGAAAATTATTCTTTTTTGCCCAATAGAAAAAAAACCCGCAAACTATTCCAGAGATAAGGACCATGTAGATGATGGTAGCATCAACTAAAAGAAGCTTTAAAAAATTAAGGCAATCACTGTGGCACCAAAAAGAAAAGCTCATTTTTTTTTTTACAGAAAATGTATATAGGGGTGTGTGTGTGTGTGTGTGTGTGTGTGTGTGTGTGTGCGCGCACATGTGTGTGGTGTATGTGTGTGTGGTGTATGTATGTATGAGTGCTGTATGTGTGTATATGTGTTTGTTGTGTATGTGTGTGGTGTGTGTGTGTGGTATGTGTGTGGTGTGTGTGTGTGTGGTGCATGTATGTATGTGTGCTGTACATGTGTGTGTTGTGTATGCTTGTGTGTGTGTGTGTGTGTGTGTGTGTGTGTGTAGGGGGAAGTGGAAAATAGAATATATGTTACAGAAAAGTGAAAAGAGGCTACTAGGACTATAGTACAAAGTACTGAAAGGGTACAAGATGGGACAGGGGAGTGCTTGTTTTTATACCTCTGTGCAAAGTAAAAGTTTCTTTGTTATTACTTAATAGGATTTGATTAATTATAAGAAGATACAGTTTGACTTGTGAATGTAATCTGCAATAGTAATTCCAATTATTACCAGCCTCTCTGTTTTTATTCATAATTGCAAGCCCCTAAATTTTATCTGCATAATTTCCCACTTCAAGAAGACATGAATACTCAGAATGGCCTTTGCAGAGACCAAGTGAAATAAACACAAATTGTAGTGGTAGATTCTAACAGTTGGGTTTTTCAGTTGAATCTTCTAAGTGGAATGTTTTATTAAACACAAATTGTCATCATGACTAAACCTAATGCCTCCCTAAAAGTGGACATTTATGGAGACTATTCCCAGATGTAGCCACCTGTACCCCACTCACACATGCCTATCTCATATTCCATGATCAGTGTGAACTACAATTAAAATTGAGAAAAATTTACATTGACTAAAATGTTTAGGCTTTCTGAACACTGAGGTACAAATTATGAGGCAGGTGAGTTTATCTCCAGGTGTTTTTAATCTCTCTTCTCAGTAATCTTTTTCAAGAATTTTCTCCACATGTCCCAGCTCCACACAACTTACTTTCAGCCTTTTACTTATTAATCCCTGTTTAAGGTGCTTCAATTAATGAAGACCAGCTGCTTACCATATGGCCCCACAATTTTAGTCTTAGGTATCTACCCAAAATAAATGAAAAGCATATGTCCACACGGAGACCAATATGCAAATGGTTATGGAAAATTTTTTCATAAAAATGAATTATAAATAACCTGAATGCTCTTCAGTGAAAAAATAAAAAACAGAAATAATTATTTAATAGAGGAATACTACACAACAACAAAAACAACAAGCTTTCCCTACCTGTTGCAAAATGGATGAATGTTAAACATATGTGCAATGAAACACATCAGACATATGATATGAGTCCTTAATATGAAATTCTGGAGAAGCTGAGACATGGACATGACATATACTGCACATCAGCAGTTGCCTGGGTCAGAAGATTGGAATGGGGATGATTGTTGAGGAGCACAGGAAGCAGTTGGGCATGCTGAGGTGTTCTAACGCTGTGTCATGTGGTGTAATGATAGTTGCTTGTTTGTAGAAATTGATTAAAATGCGGACTGGATACTCTCAACTGGCTAGTCTCATGATACAAAGATTCGATACCCATGGCATTTAAAAATGTGACAGAAAAGTAAAACCGGGGCTAGATGCCTTAAGAAGATATGGATGAGGAAGACGTTTTTAGCGGTCTCCATAGCACTCCACCAGGACTAGAGCTCATGTTTATGAAAGAGAGAGATAAGGGGTGAGAAAGACTTAGCACCTAGCCTTAAAGCTTAAAGCAAAGGGAATACACAAACAGCTATGCAATCTGAATTCCTCAGTAACACATACTTGCTCACATGGGATATTTAGTTTCTTTTCAAGTCTTCTACCTCAAGCACTTCTGAATACCTATAAAGAGAGTGAGCAGTTCAGAGCTAGAGTTACTGGTACTTTTTTAATCCTTCCGGGTCTTTCAAAGGGTCTTTACTGTGCTCATAAATGGATATTCTACCTGGCATTGTTGCTGCTTGGAGTCCCACCAAGCCATACACTTTGCATGTCACTCCTCCAAGCCATAGTCTTTCTCACAATTTCACCAAGCAGTGCAGCCCTTCCCCAGTGGTCACCCCTGGTCTACTAGACCTGGTTATTTTCCGTCCAACCTATGAAGGCATGGAAGCCCGTTACCCCCCCTTCCTTTTTTTCAGAAGAAGCATTCTAATGATGCCCTTATTTAAACAGACTAAGACTCTAAGACTCTCTAGGGTTACTTTCATGTTTCCAACTCCCCAACCCATCAGTTTCCTTTGTTCACTGCAGTCTACTGGGTGATAGATAGTGTAGTTTCACCTCTTGAGATGGACTTCACAACTGCCAGCACCAGGGAGATCTCACTACTGCTTTCACCAGATTGATTTGGCTATTCCGTGTATATTTGGGAAAGCTGAAGGACTGGGAAAGTCAAGGCACCAACCTGAACCATGGTTGCAGGTTTCTGAGTCTGTGTTCCTAACCAATCCCTTATCAGAGAGAGGTAGCTTCAACCAAACCACAAGCTTTGACTAGTTCCAGCAAAGCATACTGTCTTGATCCACTCCCACCAAGATGATTTCTCAAGATGTCATCTGTACTTTGTCTGACTTGGGTCAAGAATGTCCTAAACAAAAATTCCCCAGATTCTCAAGAATTCTGACTATTTAGTGGCTTAGATGAAGCTTATGCCTTTGAGGAACCTTTACTACGTACTTAGGATGACAGTGTGTTCTCAGCCAGAACATACTTGAACTACCAGGACTCTGCCTCTTCCTGCATGGAAAGGAACCTTAGGTCATGCATCTAGAGGTGGAGATAAAGCAGATTTTGCAAGTTATCAAGAGGGGAACTTTGCTCCATGTTTAGAAGAGGATAGGAAAAGGCAAGGGTGGAATCTTAAACCCAGTGCTGAGAAGAACCACGAAAGTAAGAAAAACAACTTGAAAATGAGACCAAAGAGTGACTTAGAACTCCTTCAGCACTCCTTTTCCTGAAAACCATGACTGATCATGTGGACTAGGGGAGGGACCTATGATCTCCAGGAGTTGGGACAGGGGGCTGTCATAGTCTGATATATAACAGGATCTGCACTGTCTTTGCCAGGTCATGCAAACTCTTAGCACTGTAGTTCAAGAGAATTACTTTCCCAGGCCACACTCCTACTCAGAACCTCTCTCTCTTAGAGGATAGACTTCTGGGCTGTGGGACTGTGTCCGTGGTATCTTCATTATTACATGTTACTTTAGTGTCTAAGACAAATTTCTAGAAGAAGCTCAGAGGATGTCAAAAATAAAACATTAAACACAATGACATGCAAACTAAATATCACTTATAGGAAAATAAATGTGCAGATGAGCTGTGACCAATAAAGATGGTTTCAAGGTCTGAAGATGCACAAAATCCCTAGCAAGAAGAGGACTGTGAACTCCTGACAAGTACAAGAAATGACCATAGCACTCTGAATCTGTAATTATGCTTCCATTCATATTTCTTTCTTTTGTTACTTCTGAGATGCCTTGGTTTCACATAATCCATTTTCTTTCCAGCAGAGTAAATAGCTCTGTGTACCACCTAGCTCATATGAAAGCAAGAGGGACAGTCCCCGTCTGTCCTCAGCAGGTGGCATGTTGCCTTGGCACCAGTGAAGACTAAATTGGGTGTTTGCTGCACACCCTGCCTTTCTCAGGCAGGGTGGTGGTCGTGCGGGAGGGACTTCCCAGTGCAGCATTGCCAGAAACACTAAGGTCCATCCTCCATCCCACCTGGACTCTAAGAAGACTGTTCTCCATCCGATGAGATCCTAGAAACTGGAGCTGGGCTTCTTTAAGGGGTGCAAGGCTGGCGAGAATGGCTGTGTTTAGTAGTATGGAGCCTCCTGACTGGAGTGGGGACTGTTTGGACATCTTTTGGTCAGGTAGGGGTCCGTATGGACAGAAGGTTGTGGAATGGACATCCACACAGCAAGTTGAGGTTGCTGAACAGGAGGGATGAGAAAAAAGCTGCTAAGATCCTTCCAACCCCAGTCTACTTTTCTTTC